CCGATCCAGCGATCTACAGATCCAGCGATCTACCGATCAAGTGATCTAGAGATCCAGCGATCTAACGATCAAGCGCTGTACAGATCCAGAGATCTATCGATTCAGCGATCTACAGCTCCAGCGATCTACCGATCCAGCGATCTACAGATCTACAGATCCAGCGATCTAACAATCCAGCGATCTATAGATCCAGCGATCTACAGCTCCAGCGAACTACAGATCCAGCGATCTACTGATCCAGCGATCTACCGATCTACAGATCCATTGATCTACAAACCCAGCGATCTACCGATTAAGCGATGTAACGATCCAACGATCTATAGTTGCAGCGATCTACCGATCCAGCCATCAACAGATCCATCGATCTACCGATCCAGCGATCTACCGATCCAGCGATCTAAAGATCCAACGATCTACAGCTCCAGCGATCTACCGATCCAGCGATCTACAGATCCATCGATCTACTGATCCAGCGATCTACAGATCCAGCGATCTAACGATCAAGCGCTTTACAGATCGAGAGATCTATCGATCCAGCGATCTATAGATCCAGTGATCTACAGCTCCAGCGATCTAGGAATCGAGCGATCTACAGATGTACAGATCCAGGGATCTAACAATCTAGCGATCTATAGATCCAGCGATCTAGAGCTCCAGCGAACTACAGATCCAGTGATCTATAGATCCAGCGATCTATACATCCAGCGATCTACCGATCCAGCGATCTTTAGATCCAGCGATCTATAGATCTAGCGATCTACAGATCCAGCGATCTATAGATTCAACGATCTACCGATCTACAGATCGAGCAATCTACAAATCCAGCGATCTACCGATCAAGCGATCTCACGATCCAGGGATCTACAGATCCAGCCATCTACCGATCCAGCGATCTGACGATCCAGCGATCTATATATCGAGCGATCTACAGCTTTAGCGATCTACCGATCCAGCGATCTACAGATCCAGCGATCTAGAGATCCAGCGATCTATAGATCCAGCAATCTACCGATCCAGCGATCTACCGATCAAGCGATCTACCGATCCAGCGATCTATAGATCCAGCGATCTATAGATCTAGCGATCTACAGATCAAGCAATCTACCGATCCAGCTATCTACAGATCCAGCCATCTATAGATCCAGCAACCTACAGATCCAGCGATCCAGCGATCCAGCGGTCTACCGATCCAGGGATCTAACGATCCAGCGATCTATAGATCCAGCGATCTACAGCTTTAGCGATCTACAGATCCAGCGATCTAACGATCTACAGATCCATCGATCTACCGATCCAGCGATCTATAGATCCATCGATCTACCGATCCAGCGATCTACAGATCCAGCGATCTAGTCATCTATACTTCCAGCGATCTACCGATCCAGCGATCTATAGGTCCATCATTCTACCGA